CTGGAAGTGTCCAAGACCAGGTTGGACAGGGCTTGGAGCAACCTGGGCTAGTGGAAGGTGTCCCTGCCCATGGCAGGGGGTTGGAATAAGATGAGTTTTAAGGTCCCTTTCAATCTGTTCTGTGATCTTCTGTTTCTAAAAGCCCCAGGGAAGCTGGTGTCCTGTTGCCTTCCCTTTCCTTCGCAGCATTTCCCAGGTGTTTCTGTGAGGCTGCATTTACAGCACTGATGTTGGGCTTTTCTGCCAGGGCAGAGGGCTCTGAGCATCACACAGAGGTCCCTTAACCACAGCAGAGGCAATGTGAGCCCAGCTCGTGCATGGGGAGAGACAGAGGATACTGATGGAAATGACAATGACCTCGAGACAACACTTTGTTAATCATATTGGCAGGCAGGCCCTGCTCCTTGGTAGACAACATCCTGGCACCCAGGAGCTTGACATCAGTGTCTCCTTCTGCTGCTGCCTCTGCTCCAGTGTTTGGTTTCTCTCCAGAGAAAAACAGTCCAAGATGATGCCCAGACACACCCAAAAGGGCAGGTGCTCAAAGGTCTGTGACCGGGGGGGAGGCACTGGGGGCACTGCCAGGCTCTGGGACCATAGAATCATAGAGCCATGGAAGGATTTGTGACCTTAAAGACATTCTTATTCCCTGCCATTCCATGGGCAGGGACACCTTCTACTAGACCGAGTTGCTCCCAGCCTCGTCCAACCTGGCCTTGGACACTTCTGGGAGCAGGACCTCCATCATCTGGGACAGCACCCTGGTGCCCTGCCTTCTCCTCCTGGCCCTGCTGGCAGCAGGAGCGTGAGCACTCAGGGGATGGAGGGGGAAGGCTGGTAACTTTTGGTAGCTGCTTTGCCCAGTGCCACATGCCAGGGCAGGAGGGGCTGCTCATGCCCCCCCAGTGCCTCCATGCTGCCCATGCCCACATGGCTTGGGAGGAAAGGGTGGAGGTGGGCACAAGCCTCGCTTGAGGTATTTGTTTTAAAAAGACAGGCTGATAAAAATCACTCTCTCCATTATTTCATTAAGGGATTTAAACTGTGCTTCCTAAACCCTGAGTCATCAATGAAGTGAGCAAACGAGAAGGAGCAGGTCCCACTGGAGGTGACTCACACTGCAGGCTTGGGGCTCACAAGGGACTCTCTGAACCGGGTGATGCTCCACTCGCCCCATCCCAGGAAGGCCAGGGTGTCCCTAGCATCCTGAGCAACAGCAGGAGGTCTCTGGGAACCTGTGGGCCTCCCAGATTTCTTTGGAAGCTGAGCCATCCCGCTGCAGCCGTGCCTCTCTGGAGTCCCCAGCTATGCCTTGATGCACAGGAGCCATGAGCAGACACTCCCCTGGAAGCCTGGAGACCATCCAGGAGCAGTGCACACACGCAGGCTGGCGTTTGAGCTTTTATTGTTTGCTTGCAGAGATGAAAGCCTCCAGATCCCTTCTCAGTTCGGGAGGAATTGATCTTTCCTCCCAGAAGGCACAGGAAAACACCAGGCCACCTTTTGCTCATTTGCTTCTTTCAGTTCCTGCGTTTTCAGGCACCGGCAGGAAAAGAAAAGACAGTCCCAGCTCCCAGTAAGGCCAGACCCTTCTGCACTCGTTTATCTTGTCAGCTCTATCCTTCCTACTGAAAACTGTTCAATCCCAGTGCCGGGACATTTTTCCTAAGATCCAGGCTGTGTGTTCCCTTTGCCCCACTCTGCTTCCTTACATCTCACCCTTCCTTTGGCCACTTTTCCCTAAGCTTCCCCTCTGGGGGTTGCTGAGACTGCTGCACCAGTGGGACCGAGGTGATGGCTGGTGTCATTGTCCCAGCCCACACTGCTGTTCCTTCATGTGTGACACCACAGAGGGCAATGCCCACACTCGGTCCTGCCCTCAGCCTCCCATCACCCGTTTCCTACATGATTCCTTATTACTCTCTTCAAACCATCAGTGATCCCCTGACTGGGAGGATCTTCCCAGATTCTGCTCTGAGCTCTCTCAGTGCTCTGGGCCAGTTCCTACCAGGTGGTTGTGATGTCCCTGCCCTTGGAAAGGCCTCCAGCAATCTCTCCTCCATTCACTGGTGATTCCTGATGCTCTCCTGGAGCCCTCTGGATCCACTGCCACCTTGGTTTTGTGCTTGCTTGGCAGAGAGAAATTCAGGGTGTAACTCCATCTGCCTGCTGGGCACGGCCCTGTTCTCCTCTGGGAAGAGAGTAAGGAGGCAAAGGGCTGTGCAGGGGCAATAGCCCTGCTCCCGGTCTTGCTCCAGTCCCAATTCCTTGGTCATATTGCTGGAATTCTGCTTCTCCTCCTTATTTGCTATTTTCTTACTAAGCTTTAAAATCAGCAATTTTGGCTCGTCGTTACTGCGATCACCGCCCAATTTACTGTTGGGGGGGGGGTTTATCTCTCTGCAAAGGTAGTGCCTCATTGTTTTATCCCAGATATTGAAAATCTTAGTTCTGGCTTTGGCACTGATGGGAGCTTTTCCCATGGACCTCAGCCATAGCTAGGTGGAGTGTCTGGCTGTGTGGGGTGCAGGTTTTGCAGGTGTTGTTTCAGTAGTGTTGAGAAAACAGTTTGCAGGTGGTTTCTCCTTAAATATCAACAGTTGTCTGTGATCCCCACTAGGACAGAGAGCAGAAGGAACTGAATTTGTTGTGACTCATGAGCTTTGCTGAAACCAATCCATAGCTGCAACAAAGATATGCTGTGGGCTTGGAGGACAGATCCCCTCACTCAGGGTGCTCACCCTGTGAAGTTACTGCTGTGCTCGTTTCTCTGTTGCCTCAGGAATGCATGGAGTGGTTTAGGAGATGTAGGGATCTCCTGGACATCACCCAGCCCAACCCTGCTCCAGGCAGGGTCACCTACACCAAATAGTCCTGGACACCCAGGGCCATGTCCAGTGAGTCTTGGATGTCTCCAAGGATGGATACTCCCCCACCTCTCTGGGCGTGCTGTGACAGCATTGGATCACCCCAATTTGGTCTCTGGCCATTGATCCATGGGGCTTTGCTGTAGGTTCTTGCTGCCGTTGGGTCAGAGAAGCGTCAGGGAGAGCCCAGGGGTGAACCCATCTCCAGCTGGTGGGGATTGCTCAGAGCTCTTGCACCAACATGGCAATTGGCACATGGGAAGGTGAGATCTGAGAACCAGAGAATCACAGAATCTCCTGAGTTGGAAAGATCCAAAAGGATCATCCATCCAACTCTTGGCCCTGCCCAGGACACCCCAAAAATCCCACCCTGTCTCTGAGAGCGTTGTCCAAACACTCCTTGAGCTCTGGCAGCCTTGGTGCTGTGCCCAGTGCCCTGGGGAGCCTGTTCAGTGCCCAACCAGCCTCTGGGGAAAGAACCTTTTCCTGAGATCCAACCTAAACCTCCCCTGACACATCTTCAACCATTTCCAATGAGCTTCTCATCCCAAAGGGCAACTCCTTGTGTGCTCCCAGCCCTACCCCGAGATAGAGCTCAGGTGTGTGCCCCGAGATGAGCACGAGGGTGACATACATCCAGGCCCACGTACCCCTCACTGTGGGGTGGTTGCAGCCTCTCCACTGTGCCACTGGCTGACCAACGTCTCTGTGCCATGGAGAGGGTTGGCCACCACCAAACTATGTCCCCATCTCGCTGGCTTGGCCAGAGCTCCCTTTTGGGGGATGTTTTGGTGACAGTGGATCCCCACCTGCTTAAAAGCTGGAGCCCTCCTCTCCCTGCTGGCTTTTCAGCCCCAGGGTGGGAGCTCCCCATGGCTTTGGCTGGTGAGGGGAAGCTTTGCTCTTGCAGCCCTGATTAGCATTCGGCCCCGCTGCTCCCGTTGTTCCGAGCTGGAGCTCGGCATTGCCTGGCAACCACGGAGCAAAACTACAACAGCCGCCCCAGAGCCTGAGCGGGCTTCCCACGAGCCTGCTCCACCCTGGCACACGCTGCTGCCCACCAGCACGGGGCCAGGACGAGGATCACCCCCAGACCAGGAGGGGAAGGAGGAGGAGGAGGAGGAGAGGGCTGTGACTGTGTGACGGCTTTGCTGACACCCAGGTTCGGTGGGTCTGTGTCTGTCTGTCCCAGGGCCATGAGCATCCCGCCGAGCTGGGCACAGCCTGTCCCTGCACATCCCAAGGTGCAGGGACTCTCCTGTGCTCACGGAGTGCGTGCCGTGAGCCAGGGCCTCGGAGCAGGGTCGGGGGCCAACCCCCACCTAGTATGTCTCCGTGTCAGGAGGTGTTGGGAGAGAGCCCATGGTGTCTGTGGGGTGCATCAGACAGCAGGGCCAGGCCTGGGGCTGTGCCCATGCTCTCTGTTGTGCACTTTGCACCCAAAGTGGGGTCTGTGGAGTGCCAATCGCCCCCAGGGTCCCCGTGGGGAGGATCAGCCTGGCTGGGGTCTCCCAGGGGACCCTGACACCCCGGCAGCCCATCTTTGATTCTCTCAGACTTCTATTAGATCGTACTGGGAGTGGAGTTGGCAGCACGTGGGAACCTGAGCGAGCATTGGGGCTGTCTCTACTTCCCAGTTTTGTGCATGCTTGGGGTCTGACGTTGTTTTGACAGAAGGATTTTGTGGTCCTGCTCCTGGGGGTAACTGTGGGCCTAGGGCTCAGCCACTGCCCTGCCAGAGGGTCTCTGCAGTGGTGGTGGCTTGGTCCCTCCACAAAACCCTGCACTTTGTCCTCTTCCCAGCTGGGCGGACTCAAAAGGACATGAGTGCCCTCCTGACACAAGGTGCCACACTTCTGCAGGTGACAGGAGATGTAGACATGCCTGAATACATTGGTTTCAGATCTAATGCATCCCCTCATCTTTGCTTTAGCTCTCTGCTTTTACATCCTTGGCTGCTGTGGGCTCTGCCTGTGGCTGGAGGTCTGAGCTGTCCTGTCCAGCCCACTCAGACCCACTAGGCAGAAAAATAACAGACATGTCCTTTCCCTGCTCCCCACACATTCTTATCAGTGATACTTGCTTGGCAAAAGGTTAAAAAAAATAAATACCTCTGTCTTTTGTGTTTTACAGAGCCTGGGGTCCGCAGACAAGAAGGACTTCTACCAGCCAAAGTAAGTGCCAGTAGCAGTGGTGAGTAATTGCATGGAAATTCCCGGCTGGTCCATATTCCCCAGCAGCTCCGTGCCTTGCTAAGATTAGACATTTCAATGTACAAGAATAGCTGCTGCAATTACACAAGTGAGGATAACAGTGGAAGGGCTGTCAGTCATCCTGGCTTCGGGGCATATGCAAATCACTCAATCAGGTCAGAAGGAACCATGACAGCTTGGCTGAGCCTGAGGGACAGAGCTGGGAGCAGGGGTGACCTTTCCCACCTCTGACTCCCTCTGCTCCTGATTTGCACAGCTGAGCTGCATTGGAGAATAGAAGGGTTTCGTTCCGTGTCGCCACGGGCTGATCTTGATGCACGTCTCCCACCGCCGTGCTCTGATGGTGATGTCTGTCCTCTTCCATCCACTGGGGTTGGAACAGCACCGTGAGCTGAGGGGGGGAGGAGAGGCTCTTTGGAATCCTGGACATGGGCAAAGTTGCTGCAAACCACCCCACTAATGTGGGCAGTTAGTTACTTAGTGTGCAGACCAGGTAACAGAGCCTTGCCCCGGCACGGCACCTTCAAGCGAGAAGGTTGTGCCTGCTGGAAGGATGGATTTGTGGCCATCATTGTTTGGATAACGGCAGAATCTCCCTGCTGAGAGGTTCGGTTCTGCCCTGACACTGAACTGGGTGTTGTGCTGCTGAGCATGTCGTGTGTGGGACCTTGTGTTGCTCTTGCTCTCCTTGGGGGGGTGAAGGTCTATAGGTTATCATCTTTCTTGTGACAAAAAACCACAGGTGGAGTTGGAGTTGCAGGACAGTGCTTTGACTCGCAGGGTTGTCAGAGGAGCATGGTTTTGGAAATTCAGAAGGAACTGGGTTGAGGAAATTTCTTCTCCAAAACTCACTGTTCTTCTGCCCTTTGCTGCTTTCCAAAGGGTTCCTGCAGTGGTGCATCCCGGCAGTGCAAGCACCCTGGCAGCATCCTTGGTCTGAGTTAGGCTTGGCGTCAGAGGGAGCATGTCCAAGGAGGGCAGACTGTGTCACGGAGCGTTGTACTGACCTGCCTGCTCCCTGTCTTTGATGGGAGAGCAAGTGTGTGTGTGTGCATGTTCTTCCCCTGTCTGCTGGTCCCTCTTTATGCCACCAAAAGTTTCTAAAGCTCAATGCTGGTTTCTAGGTCCATGCTGAAAATCTGATTGCAGGGAGCTCCTCTGCCCCCTCACCTCAAGGCAGTGCAGCTCATCAGCTTTCCAAGACTGCAGGCAGCTAAAGACTTCTGGAAGTACAGCCTGAGCCATTTCCCAGGCTGTTTAATCCCGTATGGCTTTCTGGGAGATCAGAGGAATATCTCAGGAGGTTGTGGAGTCACCGTGGATGCAACAACAAAATGAACACACATTTGGCAAAGGACTCATCTCCGTGTTTCTGTGACCTCTCCCAACAGCTGTGCAGGATTTTGGTGCTCCTTTCTGTAGTGCTGCTGTGTGCTTGTGAGGAGTCTGTGTTTTGACAAGCAGGCTTAGAACAGATTGAAGCATCTCCAGTGTCTCTATTCCAGCTGAAGCTTTGGGGAGGCTTTAAGCAAGAAATCTGGAGGAAATATGTAAAAAGCTTTTACTGCTGGGATTTCCTGCAGGGTGGTTTTGGCGGCAGGTAGCAACAATTTGTGGGGCTACATTTATAACTCATCTCCTCTGAGAAATGAGGAATGTTTCCCTACCTTGAGTGGGAGAACATGGGCTTCCCATCTCGCTGAAGGCGTGGAGCTGTTGGGTCAGAGTGGGGAGTGCTGGTGCAGGAGGTCTTGTAGATACAGGTTGTCTTATGGGTGCTTGTTCCTCTGTCCCATGAGGCCACGGGACCTCCATGGTTTGGCCCAGCAGCTTATGATACCAGCTGTGACTTGGCTAGTCATAACACTGGTTAATGCCCATCCTATTTATGCTCTACAGTAGCTGTTTTGGGGTTGTGACTGGTGAGTTTGTGGCCACTGCCCCCACCCCATTTGGCTTTTTGATCCACTGGCTGACCCCGCCACTGTTGCAACCAATCTGCAAGGCTGGACCAGATGCTTTACAGACCCTTCAGTCTCTGGCAGGGCTATAGCTGGTCTTCCTCAGCAAAGAAAGATCCATGCAAGCTGCCAGAGGTGTGGTGGACCTGCCAAGGGCTTGGAAGAGCTCAGCTCTTCTGCAGCAGCTCCACAGCCTGCATTCACAGTTCCCTGAGCTCTGGGCAAGGTGGTGGCGAGCAACCAGAGCGTGGGAAGCAGCTGGTTCCCAGAGCTGAGCCAAGCTGTGCCGGTTCCTGGACACATCTGTGTGGCAAGGCTGGTGAGCCCAGAGAAGTCTGACAGGGGGCTGCTGCTCCTCCAGCTCCTGTATGCCAGAGCAAACTGTATGTGCCTCGCCTCTGCTTTTCCTTTTCTGGCTTCCAAGGCAGCAGTTCACCTACCACCAAAGCCCTGAGCTGTGGGAGCAGGGTCAGAGCAACCCTGCTCTCAGGCTGGGGCTTCGGGGCTCTCACAGAAGGTGGAGGTTGTGGAAATAGAAAAAGGAAAGACACACATGCCAGAAATATCAGCAGTGGGTTTTGTCACCACTTGTTCTGGTAGTGACTCTTGCTCCATTCCTGCCATGTTCAGCTTTCTCTGATTAGGTGCCCTCCTCTTCCTCCCTGGACACTCCATCAAGCTGAGTTTTCTTGTGTTGCCCTGAGTTCCCTCCTTTGTCGCCTCTTCCCTTCAGAAACGGAAATGCTGTTCTCACCCCATAGTTACCATCAGTCTGTCTCAGCCAGCAGCTGAGTGTTCCCAAAGTGCCCGGAATATCCCAGTGCTCATCAAGGGCATGGAGCAGTGTCCACCCTCACCCACCAGCCTTGGATGGCTCTTCCCCCCCCCCATTACATCCATGAGGTTTTAAGGTACAGATCTTCTTCTGGGTTGCCCCAAATTTGGAGTGGAAAGGAAGGGAGGTCAGAGGTGCCCAGGTTGGAGCCACTGGAGCTGAAACGCTGCTGCTGCCCACTCTGGGGAAGGCACTTCTGCTTCCAAGGGCTTCAGTGAGCATGTTTATGGATGTTCCTGCAAGAGCTGGCCCATATTAGGAGTTGGGACTCCAGGCTTTTGGTCTGGGAAGTATTGTTCCCTCTTTCCATGTTAAATGGAGGGATGCAGCCTGAGTTGAGAAGGCTGAAGCATTAATTTTAAGAAAAGTTACATCAATTGTGAACTGAAAGGGGTAGAGAAGGGCAAGGAAGAACAGGCACACCATGAGTTCCCATAGCTGAAATGCCTGGGAGAGGAGCCTGGTGTGTTGGGAATGGCCACAATCCCAGCTGTGAGTCAACATCTGCACAGGTGTCCTCATCTACACTGGCTGCTCCAGCCATGTTGTGTGAACAGGGACAGATGCCTTCCTGTGTTTCCAAAGCAGCTTGTTCAGATGTCAGATTGATATATCCTGAGCTAATAATTCTCATCTGATGCAGTTTGGGCAACCCTGGCTGCAGCCTAGCTCCATCTGGGATCTGACCAGAGCTTGTAGGGATCGGGGAAGAAGCACCAAGTGGGGTGAGTCCAGCCCCTGACCTGCTCACTCCTTTGTCACCCCCGTTTTTTGTAAGATGCTCATACAGTTGTTGGAATATCCAGGCTTCCAGAGGTTCTTCCAAGCTTCTAACAGAGGGGCCTGGCTGCTCTCTCAAGGCAGTTTCCCAAGCAAGGAGCCACTGGCTAAGGACCCAGGGACACCTTGCTCAGAGATAGGAATAGGCTCTTCTGGGACCGGAGGTAATTACCATCTGTGTGGAAGTCTCTTGTCAGGAACCGAGGTTGTCCGGTGTGTTTGCTGATTCCCCTGGGCACATCTTTGCTCTTCAGTATCAGGCACCAACTGGAACTCAGTTTCTTCAAACCGGAAGGAACTGTTGGTAGTAATAACACTCATAAAACCCCTGGCAAATGCAGGCTGAAATACCTGGGCTTAATTAAAGTGTCACTGATTTGCAGTGGGAGCTGCCACGTCCCTCCCCGCGCTGTGTCCTGTGCTGAGAGCAATGCTCAGCTGTCAGGAGAGCTGTCACTTGGGAGCAGTGAATATGTGCCAGGCACTTTGAGGTGTCAAGAGAGACACAGCTGTAGAGACACAAAAGACTCTCCATTGATCCGCTCCTCCTGTCCCTTGGGACAGTGTGGCTGTGCTGGAGAGCCCTGCTGTCTCGGATACCATTCCTGCTCCAGCAGAATCCCACAGCCCTTTCAGGTAGATCTGTCTCCATCTCAGATTAAAGGCTGCCCCCGCCTTCTGTCCTCCAGCCTCAGATGTGTAAACACACGAGGAACCTTTGAAACCACCTCCCAGAAAGCAGCAGCTCCTGTTTGTTTTGCCTCGCAGTCATTACACCGAGCTGTCTCTGCAGCTAATTCCTTGTCACCCTCCTCTTACAGCAGAACATTTCATCTCCCAGACTCAAACCTTTCTGTGCCAGCACTTAGATGAAAGTGTTTCCTTGCTGAATCATTATCTTGTAAAACCGTGGTGGTTTTAAAGATCTAGAAATCAGTATTTACATTTTGGAAGCATTAAGGGCCATCATAGTAAGCGCGATGTGTTCCTGAGCAGAGTGTTCATTTCGTTGCCTCCTTCGCTCAGACATTATTGCTCTGGTAACGATGATAATCACACACATACAGGCTATGTTTGACTTCTTCTGCAGTGGCTAAGAGTCATTCAGCTGGGATGCTCAGCAGGTAGCTCAGGTTTCAAGTGCTGAACAGTGGGAGGAGGATGCACATGGAAAGTGGGGAGAGATGGTGCTGATGATGGCAGGGAATGATGGGGTAGGGGAAGCAATGCCAAGACAATCTCTCTGCACTGAACCATGGGATACTCAATGCTGCTAGAAACTGCTCCCAGACCACCCCCAACAGGTTTGGAGAACACTTTTCCCAGCTTTGGTTGTAGGAAAGGAAGTGCCACCACTAGCATCTCTGGAATGGGACGACCAAAAC